ATATATATATATATAGTATATATATATATAATAATATATATATATATATATATATATATATATACTATATATATATATATATATAATATATATTATACATACATATATATATATATATATATATATATATAAATATATATTTATACATATACATATACGTCAGGATAAATTTACGAACGGGAATATAGTGTGGCGAAAATTAGGTTTATTTACATTTGCGTGGGTTACTCAATTGATCCCCAATCTTATAGACACAAGCACAAGATTAGCACACTGTTTGTTGTACTCTTTGGCTGTCAATTTCCCTGCTAGCAGTTGTACTTGAGCGACACCGAAATAGTACGATACGTCGAATTCGACTACTTTGTGTGCTCGAGGGTTCAATTCTTATGTTTGTAACACGTATGCAAGCGTGTACCTGAACGTGATGTATTTGCAAAGATATAAAGCCATATATGTGGGTGGTATACCCATCGGACTCTTAACTGCCAAACCCATAGAGTCTCTCTCCCTTGATGCGAAGGGCATATACTACATCTAAGGCAGTGACGGTCTTTGCTTTTCGATGCTCGGTGTATGTAGTGGACAGACGCAGCAAATCTTGCAGATATTTCTTGGTGACGTTGCGAATCTGTACAAATGTATCGTAGACGGAGTTTGCAATATTGCCTTAGCAAGCTTAACACCTAGTATGTCCTTCACAGTCTTTTGCCAAGCTATACCAAAAAATACAGAATATACCGATTCTAGATCGAAATCAAGAGTGTGGGAAGCTACCCGTGACGTTCGGTCAGTCTTATAGAAATAGACTTCGCACAACACGATTCACAGCGGATATCACAAATAGTAGTCTACTCTGTGTGCCCAATACCCAACTCTCCGATCATAGACTTCACACTAGCAGAAATTCACCTATGAGTGGCCTATGACCTATGAACCTAGTATAAATATGTATGTATGGATATGCCTATGACCTATGAACCTAGTATATATATGGATGTATGGATATGCCTATGACCTATGAACCTAGTACATATATGTATGTATGAATATGTACGGGTTCTTACATGAAGAATACACACAAGCTGCGTCCGAGCATACTTACCTCATCGTAAATAAGACCGCTGATTCGCTTCACTCCACCTCGCCTGGCCATACGGCGGATGGCAGGTTTTGTTATGCCTACGAGTGTCGAATACGAGTTATGTCAAAAAAAATGAAATGGAGACAGTACGCCAGACTTAAGTTTCCCACAGCTCATTAGTTGACAGACTTTACAATACAAACTACATATCTGAATTTACAAGAATTGAAGGCCACGACAGGAATACACATACGGCTGGTATCGGGTGGTCAATAGAGACAGTAAGTCGATAGGGCTGTTGCCACCGCGAGCGAGCTTGCTCCTCGTGAAAGCAGCTCCTGTGCAGGCGCATCCAAACGCCCAAAATTTGGCCTTACCCTTCCGATACACGCAGTGAAACGACCCACTTAAATTTGTTTTATCATGTCTAACGGTGCGAGTACTCACCTGCCAGGGTGTTGATTGGTTTTGCGAAACGAGTTGGTCTGTGTGGTTTAGCTTTCGGTTTCGGTCTGACGGTCTTGTGGAGAATATCTTTGCCGACGATTTTCTTAGCTGGCTGGGATGGTGGTAACCGGGGTTGCTTTTGGACGGTTTCCTTGCCTGAGGATTCGTTTTCACTTTGCGAGACATTTCTGCAAAGCAAATCGGAACAAGGGGGCGGGCAACTTAGCTACGTATTCACTAATCCGTACTCGCACATCTTAGAAGGAGAACGTTATTTGAGCACACCCATTGCTGCTTTGTCGATGTGAGAAAGCCAAAGACAACCTTCTATTCACAGGCCTACACCATGAAACATTCGTTGTCTGCTGCATGACCCTCTTAAATTGCTTGTCGTGAAACGCGTATAAAAAACGGCATGTAGATGGAGTTTCATGTGCAAGCCAGCAAATACAATATGAAAATACTGCGGAAATAGTAGCAAACAATCAACATTCGCTCTCTAAGGACTACACTACAGTGGCTTGATAAAGATCACCTGTAGGGTGGTTTCCGCGAAACCCCAGCAAAAATGCGGTCAAATACGAGAAATCGTAGCAAAGTATCGTAGAGTATCGCTTTCTTGTAGTACTAGTCCAGACACTATCCAGATTGCCTAGAGCAGGATCTGGTTTAGCCACAGGATGCTCACCGCGAGACGATGGCAAGGAAACAGCAGTCTGATCGGATAGCAAAATCTAAACCTTGCCGTCTAATGCAACAAAACATGCATTGAACCCTGGCATCTATGCCTTTTCCGCTTAATCGTAGAGAATATGTGAAGCTGATCGCACTTTCAATAAGTAGGTTTGGTACGCGTGTGGGACGGTGCACGCATGTAGTAGGTATGGTATGCGCGTGGAACGGTGCACACGTGTAGACGTTTAACAACATACTGGAAGTGTTCCTCAAGTTTCTCCCTCGCAAATTTGAACTTCTGAGCATCTCCGGGTTGCGTTTCGCCTGCAAATCAATTTCGATAAGATTAGAGATTAAGATTAGAAAAGTTGTACAGGTGAATACATTTGCCCCGCATGTGAAACACAAATACAAAAACAAGGGAAACGCTCAGTTCACCAACCTGCAGCAACACGGGCTTGGTATTGAGTATAGAATTGAACGAACTCGTCTAGAGGTTCACCCTCCTCATCGGCGACTTCGGGTGTACCAGCTCGACTGGATTCCGTCGGTGACTTTACATCTGTTCCACTTTTGTCGGAAGGAGGCTTCGCTTCAGACCTGCCAGACCTGCGAGGTGTGTTGCGGTCTTCGGGTGTGCTCTTTTTAGGCGGCATCTTGCGTTGTGAATGGTTGGAACCTTTTATACAAAAACTGTGTTATTAGTTTTATGTCTCGCAACCCTCAGATACGCCTTGACTCCCTCTGAGATACTGCAGCGGCAAAGGTTACACGTCCACCCTTTGAATACTACTGTACTACTAAGCGAGGATTGTCTGGGATAGTGGTGACTATGTTTATTTTCTCATATACGAGTCAGTCGCACAAAAATTAATAAAATCCTTCCCGCCCAGTCAATGACAATAATTGGAAATGAACTAAAAGCCGAACCGACACGGAATCGAAACCCGACTTGTTGCCTGTGTCGGTTGGAATTCGAGTGTAGATTTGTCCTGAAAATCAGGGAGAACGCGGGAGATTTGAACATTTTGATAAGTTGCCTGTATAATTCGCCGATGAATTTTTTTTTACAATAATAAACTAGGTTTTTTATGAGTATTCGTTTTTATAAAATTCGTAATAAATAAATACCTACATACTTTATATTATAAAATTTTATATAAAATACAATATGTCTGTATTTATATATATATAAAAACACAAAAAGAATATTAGAAAGACCAAGAGACATAAATAAAAACAGAAAGACAATCGTAGTCGCAATTGTTTATTGCAGACCGTATTTAAATATTTACACGTCATAGACTCTGTCGGACTGTCCTGCACTCCTGAAGACCTGCAGACCTGCACGCACTCGCAGAAAAGGCCATTCGCTCCAAAAAGTTCATAATTCTCAAGGGATCATGACTCAATGACCACTACGACACAATATATACACATATTTTATATTTGTGAGTTTGCTGATGTCTCTTGCCGGTGGTCCCTTCTGGATCGAGAATGGCGCGAGGCGAACGGTGAATATTTACCTTTGGGTGTTGCTACTGTATGGCGAACATGTCAAGTCCCACCAGGCATCAAAAAGATTTGAACCCTGTTTTTCCAGATATAAGTTGTTGGGCTTGTGGGTGGTAGTTCGAAAAACGGAGTGTTAAATAGAGAAGTTCATAACCTTCGGTAACACATAGTGGTCAGCAGTGTTGTGTGCAATAACGATATATTTTTCTGTTGATCAAACGTCAGTGGTGTGTGTGCCCCATACTTCTATATTGTTTTGTCAGACTATCCAGGCGGAAACTGCTTCATACGGGCCGGATGTGCGGATGTAAAGTATTAGTATAGTTGTTATTGGATCAGGTCTGACCTCGTACTCACAACCCTCTGTCCGATATAACACAAAACAAGGGTTTCCATGCGTTTTCTTAAGTATTTCTTTGTCATGTGGTGCAATGGTGCTATGCCGAATATGTATCTCTCAATACTATCGGACGACCACCCCGGGTCTTATGAAGGTGACAGGCTAGGCCAGTTGTGGTGAAAATCGAGTAACGCTTAGTAAAGTGTGTTAAGTCCGTAAACCGTAATGGAAAGTCAGTCAGAAGTGATGTCTGTCGCTATGGTCGGCTCTGCTCATCTGCTGTATTTGTTGTTCGTGTTCCTATGTGGGACGAGATTTTCTCTAAAAATGGGCATTCGTGAAAATTCTGTATCTATGGTTCTGGTCTCTTAGTTACTAAACATCCGATGAGTCATCCTTCTTTCTTATAAAATTATATATTCCACTATCTGATCCAGTAAGAAAAAGAAAATAAAAATCCACCGATGGAGTCAGCTGACGAGATACCGAAGCACAAGCAGATAGAATTGGGACTGGGAGACCTAATACCACAAGGTAAAAGAGCCTCAAAACTGAATCAGAACAGGGTCAGACTCTGGAAGAGAAGATTCAGACGGCCAGGATACAGATGATTACCTGCGCGAATTGCAAAAGTTGGCGGCTGAATTCCAAGAATACAAAGACCGGAAGAAGACCGGCAAACGAAAATTTACGGTGGAAGAGAAGTCTAAGAGTTCTAGCGGGGACGAGGATCAATCATCGCCGGGATTTGAAGAACCAGACTCGTCAGGACCAGATTACTTGCCGCCATCGGCCAAGCAGTCGAAGACATCAACGGACAGTGACGATGGAGACAATCAGTGACTGCATGGATTGAAGGAGATGGACACGCAATTTGATGAGATTTCGGAGAGTGACAAGAAAATGGCTGATTTCACTGCTCAAATGCTTAACACAGAAAAGGAGGCGACGCTAACAATGGATCAAAGAAATTTAGAGCAAGCCAGTTTGAGAATGACAATGGCGACGCACTTTCAATCCAATATTGATACGGAGCTACGCATAATAAACGCCGAGAAGTCAGTGGACAGTAAGAAGTTCGTCAAGAACATAGATAAGTTACCCATTACATATCGTCCAGATTGAAAAAAATCGTAAGGACCCTATCGATACGATTAACTTAGTATCATTGTCGCGATCTTTGAAAGAATTTGGTCAAATTATGCTTACTGCAAATTTGCGTAAGAACCTATAGTTCGAGGCTGCGCAACAGAGTTTTAAGCCGTCATCTTACCAGTTTAATAAGTTGGAGAAGGCTAAAACTGCTATAACAAAGCTAAAGACGCGGAAGGAGCAGAGCGAGATGATAGCTCATCTAATCTCAACCGATCCAAGGCCAGAACTATTGGTATCTATAATGGTACCACCGGACAAAGGAGCACCAGTGTCACATTATCTTTTAGAATTGGACACTCACGTAACATGTGCTCAAACACAAGAAATGTCGCGAGACAAGTTGAGTATGTGTGTGCTATGGGTACAAACTATTTTCTGGTCGGCTCTACATAGAAAAGACCAAGAAGTGTGGTACGCAGATATGCACCAATCTTTTCCAGACAAAGTACGGGATATTTCAATTGAAGGGCTAATTTACGGCATCATGAAACTCACCGACTTGACTTGGACTGAATTTTATTCGAGAGCAGACCAGACGTTTTCGAAACGTCCGAGTTCTGTGGTGAAATTCACACCGTCTACTAAGTAGACGGTGCCCAACACAAATGGAGGACCAGGTAACGGTCGAGACTCTCATACGGGTAGGGGAAATAACAAAGGGAACAAAGGTGGTGACAGTGTGGAGGCCATAAGAACAAGCAAGTGCAAGGTACTGATGGTCAAAAGAACAATGTCAACACTCGCAGGAACTTGGGCAATAGATCTAATCAGGCAGCTGATCCTCTTAAACCTAAGTATAAGGCGACCAAGGACTGTGCTGAGACAGATTGCAGCTGGCGCATGACCCAATATGAGCCGAATGGACGCTGGAATGGCAGGCACGCAGAAAAATGTGTCCATTTTATCGTGAAGTGTGCAGACTGTGAAGAAACTGGAGGTTACCACAAACACGTATGTAAGGTGCAACCGAAAGTAGAAGTTAAGTGACAATCTTACCGGATCTTGGCACTGAAACAAAAGGATGCACCGCAAAATGATCGCGCCATCCTAGATGTACGAGTTAATGGGCATGAAATGAAAGCGTTGTTGGATCCGGGCTCGCAAATTTCATGTTTATCATCGAGATTCTGTAAGATAACTGATGTAACTCGTAAATCAGAACCTACTATGTTAAAATTGGCTGACGAAAGATAAATTACGTGTCGTGACATGGCCGTAGATATGATGTTTACCCTAACAGATCAACGGACCACAGTGACTAAGGCAGTAGTCTGTAACTCTTCGTTAGATTACGATTTAATAGTGGGGATGGGAGATCTGTTATCATTGGGTATAACAATTACCGGTTTTCTTACTAACATTGACCCAGAGAAGGATCAGTCAGATGACAATTTGCTGAAGCTTGTATACAAGCCTTCTAAGACTGTGAAGGAAATGATACCCCAATTCATAAAGATCACCGACTGGGCTCAGTTTAAATTCAACAACGGATACGTGAGCTTGGATTTGACTAAAGTAGACTTTGAAATTACGTAGCGTGGCGTCATGAAAAGGTGGTACGAGAACAAGTCAAGGCATGGTTGGAAGATGGAGTAATCGCAGTCAACTACAAACCTACTCCTGTCAACTTAGCACTCTTGGCTGTAGACCAGTTCAACTCTGATGGTACGTTAAAGAAGGTTCGCGTGTGTTTGGAAATGAGTCCTATAAATGCTTTTATACCCACACATAATTTCCATTTACCAAGAATCAATAAATTGCTGAGAAGAATGGAAGGTGCGAAAATATTTTCGACCATCGATTTGAAGCAAGGCTACCACCAAATGAAGATATACAAACCACATCGGAAGTATTTCACCTTCACTTGGGATGGACAGCAGTATTCTTTCAAAGGAACCCCTTTTGGTTTGCATATGCTACCAGCCTTCTTTCAACAAATCATGTATGACCTGTTTAGGGATATGGACAACGTACAAGTATATATCGATGACATTGTCGTGTTTACTAAAACTAAAGAGGAGCATGACAGGGTTGTAAGAGAGGTACTGACAAGGCTTATCAAACACAAGTTTAAGATCAACAGCAAGAAATGTCAATTAGGAGCATTGTGGACCAAAGACTGTGAAGATGCCTTTAAGCAGCTCCAAACAGTGGTTTAACAACCTCCAGTAGTCCAGCCACCAAAAGATGGAATACCCTTCATGGTGGCTACAGACGCATCCGACATGGCATTAAAAGGTGTTCTGTATCAAATGGTTGACAGGAAACCGAGATACATGTAGATGTCTAGCAGAGCTATGAACTCGTCACAAATCAATTATCTGACTGTGCAGCAAGAGCTACAAGCTATTGTGACCGCACTCACTCATTTTAAGGACTATCTTTACTGTACACATTTTAATGTACTGTGTGATCAGAAATCGTTGCAACATTTAAAAGACATGAAACCAAATTCACAATTGGTCAGTCGATGGCACGATACAATCGCAAAGTTTTCTTTTAGCATAACACATTTACCGGGTATACACAATAATTTACCGGATATGCTGTCACGCTTCGTACTGGATTTCAACAAGGAATTGGATCGGGAATTGCTAGCTACGGATTGGGAGGCCAATCCTAGGTGGTTTAAAATTGCAGACAACACACATGGACCACATACCATCGATATGTTTGCAGCACACCATAATGCGCAACTGCCGCGATACCGGACTCTGGAACATCTAGACGGTGATGGGTTTCAAATCGATTTATCATTGATACCTCAGTTGCTAAATTATGTTCATATGCAAGATGCTACCATCACGTTGTGTTGTCCCTTAAGACATTCAGATAAATGGCTACCACAGTTGATATCGATGGTACAATGTGAGCCCATATATCTGGATAGAGAGGTAGATACTTTTCTATACCAGGTTACCCGTGCAGTCCAGAAGACTCCTTGGCGATATACAATAATAAGTCGAATAGGTCCAGCTGGTAACCCCGGCGTCATAGTTCTTTTAGTTAAAGACGCTGGCACCTTAGTCGTTGCCTTAGCTTTCGTCATAGTAAGTAGAACTAATAAACTTAAACACATAAAGTTGGCTTAACCAGGGCTATATCGTACTGGCGTTAATTTAAAGGAAATGCGTTAAATTGCAAAAAAAAAAAAGTTTAGCTTCAGCCCTCGATAGTGAGTTAAAAAAACAGGGGATTTCAGACTAGACTTTTATATTTATAGTTCCGCTGGGACCATTCACTACTTCGGTCTAGATTTATATCAGATTCGTTTTATTGGTCTTATTCATGCTTCGAAACAATTCTCCAACAACAATTTTCTAAAAAATATTTATAAATCCAACTTGAAATCAAATCAAAAATCAAAACACCAAGCTAGTGCTGTAATTCCACTGCACTTATAACTCCAGCACTTGATGCCTAGATCTCCATACCTTTTAGGGCATAGACGGGCACATCTAAGTTGACTGGTCAGGAGGACTCAATATGTCTTATTTCACAGTAGATTAATTATCTTGCTCTGTGAGTAATAGAAAAAAAATGCCGGGTCTCAAAGTTTGCCCGAGTCCCTGTCTTGCGTAGATTTCAAGAGCTGTGTACATGTTGTACATTTTGTAGACGTATAGCATGTGGGTCATAATGGCTCGTCACTTGTTCCGGTTGATAGATCGGCAGGCGGAGATATGTGCTGTTAACAGCACAGCTGATTTGCTTGATATAACACCGGTGACGGACACTGGTAGGAGTGATCAGGTGTTAAAAACAGCACATAATTTCATTGGTAAAACAGCTATCGAAGGATGGCGTTGTTGCTGCTGGTGCACCGTTGGCTGACTTCCAGATGGTGGATGGCATGGAACAGGTTATGTGTGATACTTGGGAAAGACGGCGACGATGACAACGTGGGAAGGTGTATTAGCTGGGCACACTTAAGTGTATTTCCCAAGTCTCCATGCGAGTTTCTTTCTGGGGCTGATGAAGGTAGAACCAGCATATATGAACGCGGTGATGACGACTCTGAATGTGGTCCATGATTCTATAGACGCCTTTTCGGATCGTCTGCTCGCAGAGGACAAGTGTATAGGGTCGCATGTCCGGCAGAGATACAAGTGCGCAGGGCTGATGCAGGTGTTAGTATTTTACAAGAAGAGCACTTCCATATGACTGGGAGTGGGGTGCAGGATGACTCTGTGGTACCAGTGGTAGTGCAAGGGGACAGGTACGTGAGGTTTATGATTCTATAGACGCCTTATTGTATCGTCTACTCGCAGAGGACAAGCGTATAGGATCGCATGTCCGGCAGAATTACAGGTGCGCAGGGCTGATGCAGGTGTTGATACTTTTACAAGAGCGCTTTTATATGACTGGGAGTGGGGTACAGGATGACCCTGTGGTACCAGTGGTAGCGCAAGCGGACAGCTACGCGATAGATCGGACTTTGGCGGTCCTCGGTGACTTAGGATCTCAGTTGAAGAATCAAAGAATGAACACTGAGAAGGACTTACGGAAGCCGCATAAAGATGAGCAGAAGCGGGTTATGCTTGTTACGACCAAACAGCGGAAATTTACTAGGTCCGAGGCCTTACAGGATGGTCACGGTGTCGATTTATCTGATGAGGACACTCATGGCGACTTCAAGGAGCGCTTGAAGAGTATCAAGTGCTTTCGCTGTCACAGATTAGACACATTGCTGCTAACGGCCACAGCAGGGGTACTAGGTGACAGGTCGGTTCGTTGGATGCGGCGGTCGAGGAGAAAGCCCAGGCAGGGAGTATGATCCAAAGGGCAATAGAAGAGGGCACTGAGGTGTACGTCGACTCTGGAGCTACTCCCCGTTTGGTATGGAGCAACGACTGAGGATTGCATGATACATGGGTTTGCCTTACAATGGAGTGGCAGAAATGGGATTGGTCAGACCTTCGGGTGTGTGGTGACTCGTCGGCCTCCTTAAAAACCTGGGGAGGGGGGGGGGGGGGAAAGGTCTATTCAGTGCCACATGGACTTGTTGATAATGATATCTTTACCGTTTGATGCGTATGTCCTGTCAGGGTTGCGTAAGGAGCGTCTGTCACTGATGTGGACGAAACAGGATTGGTTGGCGGTTGTCCGCAGACGCAGGTGAGAGTCTGAAGCTGGGAATGAGGAGCAGACATGGATGCGAGGATCGCCGGGTAAGGGGGCGAAAGCTAGGCGGAAGGAAGTCCGCTACAAGTGCGCGAGCTCAGCGCAACGGTTCCGCAGGACTTGCGACTCAACACACTGCAAGCTCGTTGGGCTTGAGAGTAACCTAAAGGAGCAAGAGCGTAGAAACTATTTTAGGGTTAAGGTTTTATGTTTTGGGGTTTAGCCAGGCTCAGTTAGATACTATGATAATGGACGTTCAGTCCTTGGCATACAAAGCAACGGCACCCCACCTTCATTGTTTTCGACGATATCTGTTTTCGAAATAATGTGGAGAAGCTGAAGGACGGGGCAAAACAGGCTTACAACGTCTATGCCATCAAGGATCCTACGTTTACTGCGGTGGGTTTCAAAACCTTCTGGCAGAAAATATAGGAGAGAAAGCAAAAGGTATTTTTAGTTTTTAATTTTACTTTAATATTCTTATTAAGCTTATTTGGAATGGTGCCTTATATTTTCAGTACCACTGCCCAAGAAGAGAAGGTTGGGGACTGGGATCACGGGAGCGTCAGTTGCGCAATCTCGAAATCTGAGGCAGAAGGTTATTGTGCCATGCCGATTTTCGAGAGGTCAGAGTTTACGCCGTTGTCTATTGATGACTGACAGTGCTGCATTAACTACAAGAAGTCGATGGCATTCTGGATTTCGATATCCAGTGCCCAATAAGCAAGAGTTCATGTCGGCGGTACGAGGTATTAAGTATCAAACTACGGTAGATTTGGGGCAAGGGCTTTGTCAGCTCAAAGTAGCAGAGGGCTCTCGGCACCTGCTGACGTTCTGGACTCCATGGATCAAGCGCAAGTTTGTCGGCATACCGTTTGGTATCAAGCCGGCGTGGTAGATCATTTCGCAGCGGATGAAGCATGCGCTTCAGAGTGTGGATGGCATACAGGCATAGATCAATGATATGGGGGTGAGTGACAGTGACGCCAAGAAACACTAAAGAGCCTCAAAGTTTTTATTGCTGCAAGCAAGAAGCACAACGACAAGCTCCTCTTGAGAAAGTGCAGTTTTGGCTTCTCGGTCTGAGGGTTATAGCTCTGGGCAGAGTGTTGGATGACGATGGTTCTGCCATCTGTGAGCATATATATGATGGAATCTATCCTACTCATGCCATCACCCACAGAGAAGGACTTAATGGCATCATGGGAGCACATGATAGATGACTGCTGGAGTCAATGCATCCTTTATCATTCCCAAATCATGGCACAAATCTCGGATCTCAGCAAGAAGGACATTCCATTTGTTTGGGGGGCGATTCAACAGGAAGCTTCTTGATCGCATCCGGGCTGAGGTGGTCAAGAGGGGGGTTCTGGTTGAACCTGGGTTCGAGCAAAAGCAGGAGATGTATTTTGACGCGTGTGATTCGATAGGTGTAGGCTGGGGATTGTTTGCTCGGCGGGAGATAAAGCTATGTCAGGTAGGCTTCTAGTATTCCACGTTCAGTGCTGTCCCGCTTGGATATCAGATCACTGACAAGAGGCGTGGCTATAGTGTAATGTTTGCACATGTCGTGGCGCATTGTTGAGAGGTGCAAACACACGCTCACAAAAATCACAGTTCACGCTGCACCGGACAAGATGCTCACACGGGATCCGCTATCATACAATTCTACGGTTAAGGGCAGAAGGATGGCCCGGTATACGCAGGTGTTCAGAGACTGTGACATAGTACTCAAGCACATACTAGGAGATTTGAACCCTGTGGCGGGTGTACAGTCGGGTTTAGATTATCACATTGATCCCGTAATGCAGGTGCATGCAGCGCCGGTAGAAGTACGGGTTCATTAGAATGAGCCGCTGGTGGTGTCGCCGAAAACTGAGTCTTACGCGTTAAGTAAGAGCTGGTTCATCAAGTTTTAGAGGACGTTCGGGCCGTTTGATGCGGAAGCTTTGCACATCCGACTAATTATAGGCTAAAACCCTTCTACCTGCCTACTTTGACAAGGGAACTTTCTGCACTGCGCATCTGAGCGGGCACCAGCTGGTACCTCAACCCGAAGTGGCTGGGCCTGGGCAAGGTGGTTGCGAGAATCAGGAGACAAGGCAACGGCCACATTGATTTGTCCGTATGCTCCTGAGGGGAGATGAGGTAAAAAAATGATTCCGCTGCCTTCAGCTGATCCCGTGGTTATTTATCAAACGGATGGGTGTTCCTGAAGTATGGGCATCAGCCCATGTCTGCACCGGAGTGTAAAATGCTAGTGTGTCACATACATGAGTCCAAACAGGTCGCACATACAGCTCGCGCAAGGATTTATGAGAAAAGATCAAGGCCAAGCGTCCTGTCTTCGCGATACTGGCTACGGCGGCAGTAATGCGCGAGGATGAGGTGGTATTATGCCATGGTGCAGGAGAACACAGAAGGTGCTGTGACTCATCCGAGTGGAAAAATGGTTACTTGTGGGCTATCTGATGAGGACGCAGGCATAGCGACAGAGCACACCCCTCTACGGTAGGTACATCTTCCACGCAATCCTGGAGGGAAGCCAGTGGGGTATTTGAGCAGTCGGTGCCGAAAACAGAAGTCCAGCTTAAGGAAGTTGGTGCGCCGCAGGTTGGGGGGTAGTTAGGATCAGAGTACACGCGCTCAGAGTGCCAAGTCCCCGACGAAGCTGACTCGCCGTCGGAGGAATGCAGCCAAGATTGTGGACACGTACCTGTTCGGGACGACATGGACGTTGACGAGCCGAAGGCCAGGAAACCACCTAGTACAGAGGAGCGCACTAAGATAGAGCAGGATCCATGGATGGGCCTATGGAAGACGTGATACGTGAACGTCTGCGGTCAATAAGAAGGTCAGTCTTTGGGGTTGAGATGGTGGGCACATTCATAGAACCGATTGTATGCTACACTCACGAGCTCTCGGTGCATGCGAGTGCCAAGCGACTGGATCAGCCCATGCGCACGCTTTGCGGTTGGTGCGTCATGATGGAGATGTGCACTCATGTGTGCCAGAGTTGCGATGACTGTCAGGCGATCTCTGATGATCTGGGACTGGACAAGCGTTTGCAGCAGCAGCCACGTTACTCTGAAGAAGCCATGTGTGAGCTTAGCATGGACTTTATGGGCTTTGACTTGGTGAGCGGCTAGTCCAAGGTGTTATTGGCAGTGGACACACAGGCTCGCATGATGTTTGCTTTTAGTGTCTTTGGTCCAAATGCAGACGGTCCGTCGGTAGTTCGTTTTATGGAGGAACGAGTACTGGCATGGGGTTCGCCAGCGCATCTAGTTATGAACGCGGATAAGAAGGGGGTTTAAACCCTAAACCCTAAAACCGGACGATGGAGAAACAACGACGAGGCCATGCAGCATCAGGATCAACAACCCAAAGGTCACCGAGGACTGTCCGAAGCAGACGTCATACACGACGAGATCTTGGACAGAGGCTACGTACATACTGGTCGGGGCCATGGAGCTCTTCACTCTCGCCAGTCACTATTGACTAGCTCAGTACACGACCCTATATAAAGCACAATACCGCTGTATCGCAGTTTATCAACGATGGATTCAGCTCAGAGGAGACCTGATAAGTGGCTCCAGCGGTTCACCTCTGGTTACGAGAGGATCTACGCTTCAACAGTGAACTTGTCAGCGCCAGCTTTACCTGCCCTGATTAAGCTGAGCTAGCGCAAGTGGAGCTAACAAATCTGATAAGACATATCAACTTTCTGAGCCGTCAGATAAACTTGGGCGGATTTCCAATGGAAGATACATACATACGTACACACACTCGACACAAACACAGACACAGACACAGAACAGACACAAGACATATATATATAAATATATAATATATAGAACATACCTACTATATATATTAATATATATAGAACATACCAACACACATATATAAATAACACACACAGACACAGACACAGATATATATATATATATATATATTCATATATTACAGCATACATACACACACACACACACATACATACATACATACGTATACACACAGACACACACACACACCATACACACACCACACCACACCACATCACACCACACCACACCACACCACACCACACC